CACTGTAAATGCAGTTCGCCCTTAACATGTAAGGATAACGATGCCAATGTTCTGCCGTTCAAAATTAATATATAATTTTATAGATCTTCAAATTTAATTTTAGCACTGACTATTCTTAATGATAGTAAAATTCAATTAACCGTTTGTATACTATAATATACGTGTCAAAAGAAAAGATAGAGATTTGTGCAACTAAGTCAATGCGTCTAGCTGTGAAACAATAATTTTTCATAATACATTTTTCTTCATTTTATATTATAAATAATAAAAAAGTACTATCTGTATACATTTTAATATTCAAAAAATAATTTGAAGATTTAATCTTTTAGTTACATAATTTATGTGCAGAATTTTTTATTTTAAAAAGTAGCTCAAAAAGATTTCAAGTGTATTTATTGAAAGATCTACCAAGAACAGTAGTGTAATTCTAATGCATATACACAAGGCACATGTTATCTCAAACTATGGACTGACACAACCACTGATTTTCAAGGACTAAATATGCATGCTAATTTAATATTTAAACAAAAAAAACTCAGCAATATCCCATGAAAATTTAGAATTAAGCATAAAAAGCTTATAAAAGCATCCTTTGATATTAAAATGTTTCAGTATTACCGAAGCTTTTAATGTTACAGCTATTGGTATCCATAATATCTACAATGGAAGGTATTAAAAAATTAACATTCCGATATTTATGTCTATTCATTAAAAATCGATTACAATAGCTAAAATATTAAAAAATAAACTGCTGAAATTAATAAAATTTTAGCTGCATAAAATACTCTATGACACTAAATAATATTAATAAGAGAAAATTGGCTTTGTATTTATGTTCTTGCAGATAAATAGATCTTTCACGAATTCGGCTATTTCAGTAATTTAGAACAACTATTCATGAACTATGAATATACTATTATTACACTTACATTTAAAAGTTTCGAACACGTTATTTAAGGTCTCGGGAATAGTTTTCAGTTAACTTAATATTCTTAATAAATTTATTCTTAATTTCTTCAATGTACTTAATATTCTTAATGAAAGCATCATGCATAAGAGAAATTTGTAAATCTTACCACATTTTCTGCCGAAATTTGCTCAGATGTTTCATAATGAATTGATTTCTTCATTTCGGCCTTAACACAGCTTGTTATAAGTACTGTGCTATCCGCCATTACTTTGAAACAAATATTGTTCATATGTTTTTCTTTCAATAACAAAAGACCCTTCTTTTTGACATCAAGGAAAGATAAATCATTTCCAACCGTATTTTTTAATTTCTCGTAATAGGTATAAATTTAAATATTCGTAAAATCAATTAATTAAAGCAGAATATCTGCTATCGTCTTCAATGTAAACATAGCACATGCGGATGTTGTTGTTATTAAACCACGTGACCACATCGTTCCTCTTCTTCTCTTGCAGACGAATAGTGGAATTTATAGGTGAAAGTTTTAGTAAAAAGGAAGTAGTTGTTATTATTTTTATGGACGCAGAGAAAGCCTTCGATAAAGTTTGGTATCACAGTCGTATCATCAAACTGATGAACTATAATTTCCTACCTGCCATCATCCATCTAATCGCTGATTTTTAAGGAACAGAACTTTTTCAGTTAAGATTCAAGATAACTATTTCCCACAAGAAAAATTCACGCGGGTTTACCACAGGGATCGGTAATTTCCCCGCTTCTCTATAATTTATATATTAATGATCTTCCTAATATTGAAAATATTCTCACTACATGCTATGCCGATGACACGGCACTTTTATGTCACTCGCTTAATCCATATCATGCAAGAAATAAACTACAGATTGCCATTGATTACATTTCACCCTGATTTAAAGGATGGAAAATAAAAATTAACTTCGAAAAATCAAAAGTGATTTACTTTAAAAAAGGAAATATCCCTCAAGACTTGGAAGAAATTACGATGAACGAACAAATCGTGTCACGTGACCACCAAGTAAAATATTTAGGTGTTTATCTCGACCAGAAGTTAACTTTCAAATTTCATGTTAATTATATCAGCACAACGTGCCTTAAGAGCATTACCCTTTCATGTGAAATATTGAAGTTAAATATCAGCGCTAAAAGAACACTCTATCCGACCCATAATTATTCTATATGCCGCTCTGGCGTGGGCAGCTACTACATGTTCAAACAGAGCAAGGCTTTAAAGTTTCAGAGTAAAACTCTCAGATTTCTATCGAACTCTCCGTGGTTCGTTAGGAACACTGTCATCTATAATTCTCTAAAGATTTTACCATTAGATGCTGAATTATTAAAGATTACATTCAAATTCTACGAAAATGTGATTTTCCACTCACGAAGTTATTAAAAAACATAGGGAGTACGACTATCTAATCAACAGCCGCATAAACGGCCCAGAACTATGCATTATAATGTTCGATGGTAGGTTCTTGTATATATTTTATTATTTTCAACTATTTAATCTAGATTTTGTTTCTTCTTTATCATCATTTTCATCTTACTATAGACTTTGAATGATATCAAGGCTGCTGACTTTATCATCATTAAATTCGCATATCACGTGACAGTCTACTTCCCTATGAGTATTAATAAAGCTATACAGTCAAAAGTTGTTAATCCGGACTCGTCGGGACTTCGGCGATTCCGGATTATCGACTTTTCCGGATTATAGATCATCAGTTTAAATCTCGTAAGAGGCATGCAGAATTTCTAAAATTAAAAATATGAATCCGTAATTTATGAAATAAGAACAATTATGATCTAAAGGGTATCAAAATTTGCAAAAAGAAAAAGCTTATATTTATTTGTTTACTTTATTAAACATTCTTTCATGTAATTTGTTTAAGTTTTGCTTCGTTTCATGTGATAATACTTTCTCTTTAATTCTATTAAACAGACATAATTTCTTGTTCAGCTACAAAGTTCCGCTGTTCAAGTCCTGTAATTCCTGTGTCGAGAACACCGACTAATTTTTCAATCGAAATTTTTTCGTTTTCACTAACCTCTGTCACTTTCTTCGCTATCGGAAGCGAATTATAATGACGAGGAACTTGTTTTAAATCATATCAAAGACGGAGCACGTCGAGATGAAATACTAATTTGGTAAGGAATTATAAGCCAAATAAAATAAAAACATCTGCCCTGAAGATAAGGATAGTGTGACAGATCAACTTCCAATTCATACGCGCCCGCTGCGGCGTTTCCCCCCCCGCCGAGCAGCGGAAATTGATAAACAGATTTCGGATTTCAAACATACTTTCGCTTTAGATCCTTTACATATTAACAAATATATATCGGAAATTCATTTGATATAATCGAAAGTTTAAGCTTACTTTTAAAAAATTGCTCTTACAGTCTGCAAAAATATAAGCCGGATCCATTTCGAAAATTAAGGAACAACGCAATCATCAACATTAACTGAAATAGATAATTAGATAATTTTAGCTTATACGTCCATTATACATAAACGCGCACGCGAAACATATCTGCACTTGCGCCACTCATATGCGCAGTCGTAAAAGGTCTTACGCGCACGCGTAAACGCCTATGCGCATGTGTCAACGCGGCGCATGCGCAGAAAGTTTTTAGTTTTGAGGTCCGGATTATAGATAATTCTGAATTGTGGGTGTCCGAATTAACGACTTTTAACTGTAATATAGGAGCCTTAAGTATTAAGATATAGGTACTTTCGTCTCAGACGAAAGCACAAAAATTTCTGGGACTTGTATATATTATTTTCCATTTTTACTGTAGGATACTGTGTCAAATCTACGATAATGTGTGTTCCATTATAAAAGATATGCCGAAGTTATTAGTTGCTATTGTTGCTTATCCAACGAAGACTTCATCTGTGGCCTATATATGGCGTCACCCCTGATCAACTTCTTCACTACTGAAGACTTTGCACTTTTATTACAAGTGCACAGGATTTTTTCATTGTTATGGAATTTAACGAACTTTACAGATCCTTAGGGGATTGATAAACATGTAGTGGTAAAGGCTAAGGCTCTTCTATATAGGAGCCTTAGTAAAGGCCTTCGGGTCGAACACCACTTAACGAATGATGATCTCCGATCTCTTGCGGAATGTATCTCATTGGTTAATAACAAACCAAACAGAACTCATAATTGATAAAATATTTAAAAGTTCTTTTTCGCCTGGAAACAAAACGGAGTATCATCATTTATATAGAGCACTCAAAAAGAAATAAATCACTTCAATTTAAAAGTTCGAATAATTCAGTTTATAAGTATTTTTATTTTATTTATATTTTTTGAAAGCCTTGTTTTAAAGTGCTTTGTTATTAGAAGTTAATTACTTACTTGCATAAAATAAATGAGTAATTGTACAGATCAAAGTTATTTGCAAATTTTCAATGAATAATTTTCATGGGTATTAATTGTGATTGAACTGAAATGAAGATGCGAAATATATGTTACGGTTGTCAAGCTAGAGTAAAGACGAAAAAAATATAAGAAAACGGCTGTAGCAAAATAAAATATATATATATTATCCATGCTTTATTTTAGGACATAAAAGGCAATTACATTGTCATCTCATTCTGAGATAACTTTTTATATAATTTGTATAGGTTCGATTTGTCCACGTTGCATGAAACCTGACTGTTTTAAAGTAACATGCATTGATAAAATAAAACAATTAATTAAGGATTTTAATTTTCGCTTTAGGAAGCACTTATTGATTGCTGCAGTATTTTGAAATATAGTTTACTTAATTATTATTATGGTAAAAATTAGGGAAAGGATTTAGCATTTTAGTTATTTTATGTTGACACTCCCTTACGAGATTTCCTTTGATTCATAAGTTTTCTTACAGAAAGTATTCGCATGTTACGTCTCATAAAAACGAATGCAGTGTGACCTGAAGTTAATGCAGTTTTATCTTACTTCGGGGGGAAAAAAAATTCAATCTTCAGTCTCTTTAATTAATATGACTTTAGCATTTTGACTTTTTTCTATTTATCTAACACTTTCTTTTTTTCCTTTAGCAGGAACATCAAATAAGCTGTTTATTTCAACCAGTGTTCCAGAAATAGCAAAATTAACTTGATTTCAGAAACGCCTGATGTTAAAAAGTATCTTCCAAAGTATGTTTTTTTTTTTTTTTTTTTTTTTTAAGTATTGAATTTTCTTTTTCAAACATAATATATTCATATAAGAAGTATTATTTTAAAAGTAATGCTAAATTACTTATTTCAAAATAGATATAGAACATAATCAAACATGAAACTTTTACTTTGGATTACAAATTTATGAAATATAAATATTTTATATTATAAATAAAGAATATATTGAATATATTAGAAGATAAAAATATGGTGCAGAAGAAACTGAAAATTCCTTCATAAAGAATTTAAAAAGTAGAAATAAACTACAAGTATGAACTATAAGAATTATATGAAATGTGTTCATTGAAAGGGAAACAAAAAATATTAATAAAGTTTACTGTATTTTTCATAATTGATTTTATGTATAGCCATTTTTCCAAATTAAACTGCTTTTGAGGACCAATCGATTATATTTTCAGTAGTTAAAGGAAGAGATAAATATATGATATACTTAAATAAAAATATACAGTGCAATATATTTTATGTATCTATTTATACTCTTTAAAGTTTCACTTGCAAGTTGTCAATTTGTCATTGTTGAGCAATGTACAAGCAAGTAACTTCCCTAATAAAGATTTCAGTGTTTTGAATAGTTTGTACTAAGATAGCATGATTCCATCACAAAATATATATATATGTGATGTACCAGCTTTTGTCAGGAATAAATAGATTGTTGAAGAATCATAAATGTAGTCGTAGCTTAAACTATCAGATGATAAGTTTAAAAAACAGGATCCATTTATTATTGGTCAGGAGAATAGCAGTTACAAAATCAGATACCCGGAGTAAATAAAAGAATTACTAATAACTTTTTGTATGAAGTTTACTGCATCGTGACATTTAAGAAAAGCCCCCGATATTCCTTTGTGAGTCCTTTTATAGCTTCTGGAAAGGCGGAGCTTCAAAGAAATGACGTCAGCCTATCTAGTTCGCTTTAAATATTTCCAGAACATTTTATAACTGTACGTGTAGAAAAGGCGGGAAAAACAACTTGACTACGGGGCTATGGATTTAATTCCATGTACTTTCAAATAAGAGAACATCGCCATTAAAAATGAAAGGAACATACAGTTAGAATTTTAAGTGTATTCTTGACTATGGAATTTTATTATTACAAATATGTAAAGAAATAAAAGGAGGGATGGGGGGAAATTAAAAACTTTAAAATTAAGGAATTTCAAAATTTATTTAAAGAGTAATATTCTGTTCTATCACAGCTAAGATTAAAAATTTGGTTGGATCCTAGCAGAGCCCACACCTTTGGCAAGAATGATTTTGGCTATGGCGTGTATCGATGTGTACATGGACAAAGTAAAGGGAGTATGCAGTGCCAAGTTTGTACAATTCTTTAACTTAAGTCTGCAATTTTGAGAAATGCATGAAGCAGTGAGCACTTTTCCAATTTGTCACCAAGGGTCTGGGCTCTCCTAGGATTTTACCAAAAATTTTAGTTTTAATCTTGATTTACTATCTAAATTTTCTTCACATTTCCTAAAAAATAACCTAATCATTTATATATGCTCTATTAATGTACCTCCTCTTGATGATGTAAAAGTCTAAAGAAAAAAAGTACAGGTTTTTCAAAGGAAAGACACAAATATATAAATAGTTACCAGTCGAATACAAGTAGATAAAAAAATATTTTAGATCCAATCTTCTGTAGGCTTTTACCACATGCAATTTATCCATTAGGCTCAAATATATTAAATTTTGATTCATCTGGCAAATATTACATTATGCCAATATGATTTCGGTACTTTTCCGTTTTGCTGGCACAAACGATAAAGTCGCCAGTAATGGTACAACTGATGCCAAACAGAATATCTTCGCTGGTAACCTTTTATGCTTTATTTTCAAAACAAGTCACGGCCTTTTCGGTACTTTTCTCGCTTTGCCAGGGCAAACGATAAAGTCACCAATAATGGTACAACTGATGCCAAAGGGAATATCTTCGCTGGTAACCTTTTACTGAGATTGTTTCTCAGTGTATCTGTCACAGCATTTTAAAATTTTTGCAATATCTTTATACTACTTCCCATTCAGCAGCATTTTCACGCATGAAAACAAAAACAAATTGCATTGTGATACATGATAGGAAAAAGTAAGTATATTAGTCTACTGATCCAACAGTTAATACTTAGATACCTTCAAATCAGGTTGGCAGTGTGTAAATGCTTGATGTAAGTGTTTCAGTACCTGCACATGTGCACATAAAAGTAATGGTTCATTGTCTGTCCTTTAGGTAACAATTTGTCCTGCACATACCTCTTGCATCAATAAATGCTCACAACACTTTGTTTTTTGTGATTGTGACTTCATTATTTTCTTCAAGGTAATGAAACATATGACAATTGTCTTTTTGTTTAAAGGGCATATTCATAGTGCTAATCTTCATCACTAATGTTCAATAGGAATGTAGGATTCTGCCTTTTTTTGGCCTTTTCTGAATAAATGGTATCTGTCCTTTTTTTTTTTTTTTTTTTCTTTCCTATTCTTTTGCCAGTAATGTGAAGGAAAAATTATGCATTAAAGTTCCATTTTCCTTGTTCCATTTGATTGGATTTATTAGATTATAAGAAAGCACGCTAGGGCTATCTGTCTTAGCAGAGAAAGGTCTTCATAGTGGACTTATGAAGCAAAATAAGCTTACATTCATGTTACTTGTGTGGAAAACTATGAAAATTCTTATGCAGCCAGCCAGTTTGCAGGAATTTGAATCCAAGTTCCTCATGTAAATGTGCGAACAAAAATTCTGTTTAATCTTTGTAAATGGGAATAGGCACTGTTGTGTTATCAGGACCAAATCCAGAAATGTTATGGATGTATGTGTTCATGTATATATGTAAGCACTTTCATATATTTCTGAATCTGGTCTTGATAACAGAACAGTACACAGGAATACATAGTTTTCTTTTTCTAAACTCCTTGTATTTTCCACATTTTAACAGTGTGCACTGTTAAAAGCAGACTTGATCATAGATTATCTTTCATTGAAAACTTGTCTTCTTTTTTGTGCTGTTCAGAATTAATAGGGTGTTTTATAACGCTTAGACATCATAGGCTTGTCACATTATATGTTTTCTGTAGTTTAATGTCAAACTCAGGAGTAATTCTGTTTTCCAATTTTGCATCCATCATGTCATTCATGTAGTTCCAACTGAAACTGTAGATATAACAAACAGTGTGTTGCTAGGAACTTGGCCCTGATTCCTAATAAATTTACACAGAATCATTTTCAACATCATGTTTATTCACAACAGATATCAATTGAATGTACAACACCCAATTTATATTTAAAATATCAACCTTAGAACTTTCCTCACAAAAGAAATAACATCAGAAATCATTGAATGGTTTCCATTAATGATTTTTGTAATATTTCTAATGCAATTACAGTCAAAAGTCGTTAATCCGGACTCGTCGGGACTTCGGCGATTCCGGATTATAGATCATCAGTTTAAATCTCGTAAGATGGCATGCAGAAATTCTAAAATTAAAAATATGAAACCATAATTTATGAAATAAAGAACAATTATGATCAAAATTTACAAAAAAAAAAAAAGCTTAATATGTATTTGTTTACTTTATTAAACATTTCTTCAATGTAAGTTGTTTAAGTTGCTTCGTTTTATTGATATACTTTCTTTCTCTTAATTCTATAAACAGACACATTTCTTGTTCAGTTACAAGGTTCTGCTGTTCAAGTGCCGTTAATTGCTGTGCTAGAATACCGACTAACTTGTCAATCGAAATTTTTTCGTTTTCACTAACCTCTCTGTCACATTCTTCATGTCTTTATCCATTTTTTGCAGCAATTCCACTTTTTGTTTGTTGGACATCGAACCACACTTTCGTTTTGTAGATCCTTTGGAAATTCCAGCATCGGAAATTCTATTTGACATAATCGAAAGTTCAAGTTTACTTTTATAAAATTGCTCTTACAGTCTGCAAAAAATAATAAGCGGGATCCAATACGAAGCTTGAGGAACAACGCAATCATTAACATTAACTGAAATAGATAATTAGAGCTTACACCGTCCGTTATACATTAAATGCGCAGGCGAAACGTATTCTGCACTTGCGCACACGCATATGCGCAGTAGTCAAGGTCTTATGCGCACGCGTAAAACGCCTGTGCGCATGTGCCAACGCGGCGCATGCGCAGAAAGTTTTATAGCTTTGAGGACCGGATTATGGGTGTCCGAATTAACGACTTTTGACTGTACTATCAATGACAGTTGCAGCCATGCCTTCTCCGGGATTCTAAACCAGGCCCTTCAGTGCTGCAGTAGACTCCCCAACCATCTTATACCATCTGTGGAGCACCCAATAACATAAAAATCAAGCAACTTTATTACCTTATTTGAAGCTGATCCTCACTTCACTAGGTTTCAGGAATAATTGGAACTATAACAGATTTAAAACCTTATTCTTACCTAAATATATAGCTGATTAAGATAAGGAACGGGCAGTTATTCCATTTCTATGTTAAATGGAACTCCAGGATGATATGGACTTAAAAACTGCAGTGGCAATGCAAAAGTAACCGAGAGAAAAGGCCTATCTAGTCCTCTTGCCTCAAAACAGTATTATAAAAATCATTATCTTATCTAGTCCCCTTGCCTCAAAACAGTGTTATAAAAATCATTATCTTCAAAAAAGTCTCACCTAAATTTTTGAGTCTTCAAATTACTATCTGATTTCTATTTTAGCATGTTTCAGATAAATTATTTTATTTTAAGAAACATGAAATTATATTTTACGCTACAATCATTTTTTCTTTTGTAGGCATTCAGAAGATATTAGTAAACTGCTGTAAATCTTATATATTGTTCAAATATTGTACTAAAGACTGTGTTCAATTTTTACTTCTTTTATGAAAACAAAAGTCATTTTCTGTCTTTTGTTTATTAAACTTTTGTATTAATAGAGGTCTGTCATAGAGGCAAAGTAACATTAAACTATGTTTCAAGAAATACTAATATGTATTTATTGGAGTTAGCTACTGTGATTTTTTTCGTAGTTGCCTTCAAATTTTTCCCAGCATTATATGTCTTATGTTTCCTTTTCTCGCCTTTGTCCATTACATGTGTTTAAAATAAATTCAAGTGATTTATCACTAATGAAATGCTATTAAATACCACAAAGCCAATTTATAAACCAGTTATTTTAGAGGATTTATACAAGGAAACTTTTTAATATTTTTCTATTTTTTTTTAATTGTAATAACATACAATAGGATTGCCATTGAAATTAAATCATCCTTACTCTCTCTTTTTTATTTATTTATTTTTTATTGCATTTGTGGTATTCAGTACTGTAATACCAGCATAGGGAATATGTGCTTTAAAAACACTTCATTAAATCTAAAGAAATTGTATGCAATGCATATTCTATTTTGAATTATTATAATGCCGTATATAATTATAATTATTTATAATAAGGTATAATATAATTGTTAAGGTCTTTATAAATTGAAATTTCTTCTTATTTTTTAGAAATGCCCAAAAGACATCTACATGCGAAAACTTTTATTGAAGATCTGCTGTATTTTTATCTGATAGCTATGTTTTAGAACGGTAAGATGACAGTAACTTTGAGCACACTGAGTAAATTATAATTTAGCACATTTGAAATAATATAAATATTTAAACAAAAATTGCTGCTGAAAAGCTGTGAAAAACTATTATTTAAATAATGTTATGATGTCATTTTTTTTATGACAAATCCCATCCATGAAATAAAAATATATTTGTAGAAAAATACAGAAAGTTTAAAAAGTAAATGAGATTTTTTTAAATTTCATATTAGTTTATTTTTTAGTTATTCTCTCAAAAAGATTTTTATAAATATGTGTTGCATAATATATATATCATAATTACAAAACATTTTTTCTAAAAACAAAATATAATCATGCCTTGTATTTTCATGGATTAAACTGCTGAAAAATTATCAGTAAAGACATAAAGTAAGAAATTTAGAACTAATTTTTCACAAAGACCAAAAATTGAAATTCATAATTAATAAATTTCAAATAATCCTATAAATGCAATAAAGAATTTTAAAAAATGTTATAAAAAATAAATGTTTATTTTAATAGTTGGATACCTATTTTGGATTGCATCAACCAACATTATGAAAACTACTTAAATGAAGAACAGAGCACTGGAAAGTTTTGGTTTAACATTTTTTTTTAAAATTCTTTATTGAATTTATAGAAGTGAATGCCTATTATTATGTGCATTAATCAAAAATTTAAATCATTTACACTTAATCGAATTTTTTACAGTTACCAAATTACAATTTTTAAATAAGAAACCTCTTGAAAATACTTATAATGTATTTTTTTAGCATTTGAAAACTTATAAATTACTTACATGAATATTCTTTCTGCAATTTAAGAGAAATTACAAATAAAGATGCTAGTAAATCTTAAAAGAATATCAATGAATGGCATTTAAAGAGGAAAAAAAGCAACCGCAAATTATCCTCATTTATTTATTAACCAGGTCCTCAATTTAAATTCAAAATGACGTCATCGCAAATTTTGAAATTAAATATCTGAGTGAAACTTTTGTGTTTTTGGTACTTTTCCGTTTTGCCGGCGCAAACGATAAAGTCGCCAATAATGGTACAACTGATGCTAAACGGAATATCTTCGCTGGTAACCTTTATGCCTCATTTACAAAACAAGTCGCAGCCATTTCTTACCAGATTGATTGTTTCTTTCAATACTGGCATACAATTACATAGAATATTTACAAAGATAATTAAATTTTATGTCCTAAGATCTTCGCGGTAATTAAGTCAATTAGGATGCAATCACACTGCTCACCCGAAGGCGAAAATATAGAAAAGTCAAAATCAAGGGTTAAATTCATAATTTCTAATAAGAATGCACTAGCGAAGTAAAGCACTACGGTTTTACATAATTTCTGAGCAAGCTATTTGTACAAATTGAAATAAACTTGTATTCCAAATTAAGATTTAACTTGAAATTAATGTAGATAATTACTGAGAGAATAATATTTTTGTAGCGTAGTTTACGTGAGATGAGATCACTTGGGGTCACGTGATACGAACCGGCGAATCAGGATGTTGAACCATGAAGCATAGTAAATTCTTAAATTAATGTCTTTTTACAAATTTATTGTCTTTATTTATTGGCTTTTTACAAAATTATAAACTATATTAAAATGTTTATGCCTTCAAAATAAAAAATTCTTAGAACTAGCATTTGTTAACATTTTTTATGTGTATACTATATGTTGTCGCCAACAAAGTCTGCTTGGAGTGATTTGCGCCGGCGAAACGGAAAAGTACCGTTTTTTTTTTTTTTTTTTTTTATTTTTATTTATTTATTTATTTTATTAAATTTTTCATCCAATAAGTATAGGAGCTGGAGGAACCAGCTGAAAAAATAAAGGTTAGGTAAGGATTTTGGGGAAGTTTGGTATGTGTGTTTTTGTGTACACAAAATTATTCAAAACCGTCTGGCAAAATTTTAAAGACAAGTAAAGGTGGCTGAAATAAGCAGATTTTGTTATCTGTGCATGTGAAAATTGTATATTAAGGTATTATAGAGCATTGTTGAATGGCCTTCTGCTGCTATAAGTGATTGTTTCCCGTGTGAATTCTGAGGGGTATATGTAGTGAAATAATGTGCCAAATGTGATAATATCCAAAATGTAATGATAGAATAGTTTTACAGGGCCAAATATGCAGATGGAAATGTGTGATCTAAAAGAGAAATATGAAATTAAAATGACTTACCCCAAAGGATGAGACTTCAAATAACACAAATCAGTTAATATTTATTATATCTTTCACATCATTAAATTTTGAATAAGTATTAGCGTAAACTAAGCAATTTTCGGCCAGACAAACGAATATCAGTACTACAATTTTGAATCTGAACCTCTCGTACAAGTAAAGGCCCGTTTCTACTGCTGCGTATGCATTGCGGTGTCTATGCGTTTCTCCAATCAGCGTGCGAATTCACTTTGATTGATGTCTGCAATCCGGTCATCACTGCACATTGACCTAATTCCAAAAATGTATCCTATATCTAATTCCAAAAATGTATTAATCTTAAGAAATTTATGAAAATGCATAAGTGAATAATAGGTTAAATAAATTTTTGGTATTATATATTTATTCATGGATTTTCATACTTGCACTTGATTTACATATGCTCTCAGAATTTAAATGATATTGTAGATTAGTTTGCAGCAATAATTAATCATTTATTTGTTTGCATAAAATTTCATTTAAATTTAATTAACTTTAAATTTGCTTTTTACGAATAGAGAATGTTTGTTAGATTCAAATTTCATTCCTTGCAGCAATGGCGCAAGAGAATTATTTAAATTTAATTTAACTTTACTATTTATTCTTTTGAAACCTTTTACTATATTATATATATATATATTCATTTCACTTTTATGTGAATGTACATGCATGTGCTCAGACTTTGGGATGTTTATGGCTCTAAACTTTCATTACCATGAGACAGTATTAATGCCCTAAACATTTTTTTAACAAAAATTTACTATAATAATTGCTTTTAAATTCAGTCCTCTCCAGCAGAAGCGCAGGAATTAATTAATTAAATATTTCCATTTTCTTTACCTAATGTGTGTATATATAAAGAAAAAAAAGCTTATTTTTATAACTACTATAAAAAGAGATATGAATTAAAAATAATATTTTATGGATTATGCATAAAATATAACTGCCCATAGTGCATTTTAAAACAAATGAGATTTTTAATAAATTATCCAGCTATGACCCTGAAGTCAGCGGTATACAAGCATAGCAACTTTTGTGTAAATATTGAGAACCTTTCTTTACAGTTGCTCTGTATTTTTAAAGTACCGACTCTTTTTTAATTCGTTTAACTTTTTTATTTATTTATTTGTTTATTTTTTCAGTAACAGTACATTTTAGTTGGATTCCGGATTATCGATTTTTCCGGATTATAGATCATCAGTTTAAATCTGGTAAGATGGCATGCAGAAATTATAAAATTAAAAATATGAAACTGTAATTTATAAAATAATGAGCAATTATGATCTGAAGGGTATCAAAATTTACAAAAAAAGAAGCTTACTATTTATTTGTTTACTTTATTAAACATTTCTTTCAACGCGCGCATGCGTACCTTAAGAATAGCCAAAATTAGAAAATTGCAACCAGAAAACTATTTGATTTGTATTCGTGATATTTATAATGACGATGAATTTGATTTAAATCATATCATCATCGAGATTAAATACTACATTTAGTAAGGAATTATAAGCTAAATAAAATAAAAACATCTGCCCTGAAGATAACAATAGTGGTGACAGATCAACTTCCAGTTCATAGCGCGCTGTGACCCCCCCCCCTCCCCCGGCGTAGAGCAGCATGAAAGTGATAAACAGATTTCGGAACAGTTACATAAACAAAGGATATACCTTTATCCATTTTTTGTAGCAGTTCGTTTTTTGTTTGATGGACATCGAATCATACTTTCGTTTTCTAGATCCTTTGGGAGCTCCAGCATCGGAAATTCTATTTGACATAATCGAAAGTTCAAGCTTACTTTTATAAAATTGCTCTTACAGTCTGCAAAAAATAATAAGCCGGATCCAATTCGAAGATTAAGGAACAACGTTATCATCAACATTAACTGAAATAGATAATTAGATCATTTTAGCTTATACCGTCCGTTATACATTAAACGCGCATGCTAAAACGTATTCTGCACTTGCACAGACGCATATGCGCAGTCGTAAATGTCTTGCACGCAGGCTTAAAATTCCCTATGAGCATTCGTCAACGCAGCGCATGTGCAGAAAGATTTTAGCTTTGAGGTCCGGATTATGGGTGTCCGAATTAACAACTTTTGATTGTATATTATTTCATTAATATTTAAGGCTTCTAGAAACGCAAAGAAATTTTTTAAATTTACTTCAGCTTCTATGCAATTAGTGATGTTCATAATATGCATTTTAATCTTACTTATCTGAAAATGGCTAAATACTTTACTTTTGCAGTTCATAAGCAGAAATAAAAGTTTCCAATAACATGAAATTTAGTAAACAAAACTTTTCTGCATTTTACGTCAGGATCCATATCAATCCAAAACAAACAATACTCGCTTAGCGGGAAAAATTCAAATGTTCAGCATCGTAACTCAACTGGTTGTTTGGCACCAAAATATTATAGTGACACCTAGCGGCGGAAAATGAAAATAATCTACGGATATGCAGCAGTGGAAATGTTTGTACGGATGTCGTAGGCGTGTCTTCAATTGACGCAATGCATTCGTATGCAGAAATGGAAACGGGCCTTTATGCATTGTATTCCAATCAAGGTAGATCTCACTCCATCAACGTGAAACAAAGTCTCAGTGAAAAACAACAGTCAAAATATAATGGCAGAAATTGAGTTAGCTCGCTATACCAATATATTTTTCGAAGAAGAACAAGGCGAATTCTTAAATCATCAGGAAAGATGAACGTGCACACGAACACTTCTCGAAGTTTTTAAGTTGTAGAACATCATTAATTTTCGGCAGGTGTTAGGTATATGGATTTATTTAATTGGATCTTCAATTCTAATTTCTTTACTAGAAGGAACCGCATGGCTCTACAACCAGCAATGGAGATGGCAGTCAAAAACGTGAAGAAAGAAGAAAAATGGCACACGCATCAGCCGGGGTGAGGACAGCCAAAGCCGTCCTACACCTTCGGACACCAGCAGCAGAATGATGGAGAAACCGGTTGTAGCCGTCAATTTCGCCTTGTCGTTCGACGGTCGCAGTTAGTACACCTGACGCTGAATAAATGCGGAGACTTCCCTGCACAGTATGCATCACTACATGAATGGGAAATTTGACAACATGCTTTTTATATGTGATGCTGCAGCTACCTAAAGGAAGTAGAGGATGATTCCCCAGTACCTTTGAGTATCTGCTTCATTCCTGTATAATTTGTGCAGCATTTGAGAGAAACTTGCAAATCAGTGTCCTCATGAGTTATAAATTTCATGCAAAATAATACTTTGAAAGTAAAATTTAAAAGCAATGTTGTAACAAGATATTTGTATGTGCACAAGACAAATTAAAATAATGTGAATTTATTATGATACTTTATCTGCACACTCACTCAAAATTTGCAAACTTGTTGCCATCTTTGCAAAGAAACATTTATTTTGGTATCTTTACATCTATTTCAATGAGGCATCCAATGTCATGTATTCTTTTATATTCTCTATTTTTTCCCTAGAAGACATGCACACTTCTTGGAAACTCTTTGCTTGAATTTTTGAATTGCATTTCCATAAAATTCTGTCACTTAAATATGGTTTCACAGAAAGCAAATTTTCTCTTTTTTGTTTTGCAAAAGTCTATACTTCTGAAGAAATGCAACACTCTTTTCATCAGCTAGCAAACTTGATGGTGGTCTCATTACAGCAGAAACAAATGTACTTAGTGCAAAAAGAAATACTAATCATAAAAATTACCATTGAATTATAAAAGGGCAAATCCATATGTACTCAAACACATGTATTAAATACTTGTGTACATATCATGTACACATATTTGGGTTGCCACACGAATGTTTTGACAACATCTTGGGTTGTCACATAAATACATTTGGGTGACATGGTGCATTGCCTCATCAGTACTTTTTTTGCAGTTTCAATGGTGCAGCTTAGAAAGTATCTGTGGGTGCACGGCAGCAGATAGCGCTTTTGACTCCATGTAATTATTAGAACATTTGTGAGCTTGTGTAATGTTTACTGCATTTTTGAATTCAAGATATATTTATTACAATTACGAGAAGCTCTTTACAAATATATATAATTCATGGATAGCATAGAACAGTTATTGAAATGAATTACAGTCCTTGTGATGTGAGGAACCTGTTAACGAGGATCTCTCTAGTTGAGAGTTCAAGAGCATTCTGGCATGTTGTTCAGTTGGAAAATATCTACAGACTGAATTAACCACACCTCATTAATTTTTCAGTAGTATTTTACATGCTTTGATTTGTTATACAGTCAAAAGTCGTTAATCCGGACTCGTCGGGACTTCGGTGATTCCGGATTATAGATCATCAGTTTAAATCTAAGATGGCATGCAGAAATTCTAAAATTAAAAATATGAAACCGTAATTAATGAAATAAAGAACAATTATGATCCAAAGGGTATAAAAATTTACAAAAAAAAAAAAAAAAGCTTAATATTTATTTGTTTACTTTATTAAACATTTCTTTAAAAGTAAGTTGTTTAAGTTGCTTCATTTTATGTGATAATACTTTCTCTTTAATTCTATAAACAGACATAATTTCTTGTTCAGTTACAAAGTTCCGCTGTTCAAGTCCCGTTAATTGCTGTGCCGAGAATACCGACTAACTTGTCAATCGAAATTTTTTCGTTTTCACTAACCTCTCTGTCACATTCTTCATGTCTTTATCGATTTTTTGCAGCAATTCCACTTTTTGTGTGATGGACATCGAAACACACTTTCATTTTGTACGATCCTTTGGTAGCTCCAGAATTGGAAATTCTATTTGACATAATCAAAAGTTCAAGTTTACTTTTATAATATTGCTCTTACAGTCTGCAAAAAATAATAAGCCGGATCCAATTCGAAAATTAAGGAACAACGCAATCATCAACATTAACTGAAATAGATAATTAGATAATTTTAGCTTATACCGTCCGTTATACATAAAACGCGCACGCGAAAACGTATTCTGCGCTTGTACACACGCATATGCGCAGACGTAAAAGGTCTTACGTGCACGCGTAAACGTCTATGCGCATGTGTCAACGCGGTGCATGCGCAGAAAGTTTTTAGCTTTGAGGTCCGGATTATGGGTGTCCGAATTAACGACTTTTGACTGTATCTGGAACGATATCAGAGGAAAAACAAGATCATTGATTCATCAGCCCTCTTGAAATCAAGAGGCTTTGCGAACAGACACCGTGCAGAATGCTAAAATTTGTTGTGAAGTTACGTGTCTTGTACTGTCAACTGGAATGAATTATTGCATCTGAGATGTTAGATTATGTCGTGTGACGCATCGTAAATGTCGAAAACAATGACATACGGGGACTGCACACATGATTTTCTCATCTCTCTGTGGTCTGCCACATACCGTTATTATTATTGTATTATTTATAAAAAATTATTTTTCAGAGAGCCATTCTGCTTATAAAAAAGAACTGTAATCTTATAATATCAGAATATGTTTAAAAAAGCATCTTACCCCATTTCATTTTATTTTCAAGTATCTATACTTCTAATTCTTTCAAAAAAATTTCTTTACTTTTTAAAAGCTCCTGTAACATTCAATTAGCAGGAAGCATATTACCTCTTCCATCAATGTTTATATTTATTAATTTATTGCATTAATAATATGAATATTATAATCAAATACTAAAATACCACTACTTTTAAATGTTTGATTTCTGAACTAAAGATATTTAATTAGATTATTCTTTTGTTAATATGTGCTGATAATAATGACTTTTTCTCCCCTCAGCTTAAATGCTGTTGTTATGGAGTTGGAAAAGTGGGAGACTAGTTACCACAGTTGGAGGATGGAATTTTCTAGAAATGGTCAAGAAAATTATTCCATATATATTTGTAGATAATTTTAAACAAAATGTTATTTTTTCTCAATACCTGACTGTGCAGTGTTGTTTAGCCACTGCTGCTTCCTTTTTACATCTATCAAGAAATGTCAGATGCTCTAAAGAAATATTTTTGTCCTCGACTGCTGGACTATATTGTTTTTGTGGGAGCTCGGCAACCAAGTCGCAACCATGCGGTTCAGCCTCCAGAACTCTTACGCAGGTATCCAGCCGAAGACCACAAAGATTTTCCTCTCAGTCCTGATGTTGTATATTTTTGTCAACCAGAGGGGTGTGTCTGTATAGGGCCAAAACGTGTCAGCCTCAGGGAATCAAACTCATTTGTATTTGCTCTGACAGAAAAAGATACAAGTCGAGTGCGATATGGTATCTGTGTTAACTTCTATAGAGCCATTGAGAGACGACCATCAACTAAAGAAAAAGCAAGGGATCGTGCAAAAAAGAAAGCTGGGAAACATAAAGAAAGTGATTTTAGTGTGACACATGATAAGTATCTGGACCCTCAACGAGATTATTCATCTAAGAGCCATCAAGATGATTCTGATGGTGATTCAAAATCATCATCTCCAATCAGTCATCAGCGCATAAGAAGTCACTCTCTTACATCACTTTGTATCATTAGTCATCATCCATTTTTTTCTACTTTTCGTGAATGTCTTGTCATTTTAAGAAAACTTATAGATGTCTGCAATGAAAGAAACTTATCAAGAAGATTTGGTGGCTCCAAACAAAGTAGTAGGTATGTATTTGTTTTAATAAAAAGTTACATGTTTGAATTATATTAAGAATTTGTAATGCTTTCTACCATTAGATTTGTTTTGATGTGTGGACTGTTTACATCTGCTTGGGAGTTGTGTTTAAATTACACTACCATGCAGGTATCAAATGAATATATGATGTTGCATGATGAAATTAATATGTATACTGAACTGATGTTCTGCAGGATTCTTATAAAAATATTAAAACTTTTATTATTAGTAATTTTATTTTACCCTGCTTGACATTGAAAATGCAACCCCAAGAAGGAGTGGTCATAAATTATGCAAATTTTAGAGTAGATGCACGTCACTGAGTTATGCAAATGATGTGAAATAAGATATAAGGGAAGGAACGTGCAAAATGGGCAATATTTGTGTCGTTATTTCTGCCAGACGAATTATTGAAAAAGTTGATTTTTGTCCCGGATGATACGATTAATAGGAGAGAATGCCAGGCCGCCATCAATGAAGGCACTTCCAGCAGATAGACGATTTTACGAGGGGTACGGTGATCAGACTGAGAAGGGCGGTTGGTCCTTTCGTCAAATTGCAGCTGATACCCACATGGATGCGAGCACGGTGAATCTGCTATGATGAACATGATTGGAACAAGGAAATGTAGGAAGAATGAGGGGTGCAGGTGCAGCCAGAGTGACGTCAGCATGCGTGGATCGACGCATCCGCCGACAAACTGTGGCAGTCCCACAAGTCACTTGTACCGTGATTCTGCAGCATCTGCAAGATACCGTGAATGTTTCCGTGTCGACCAGAACCATTTCTCACCAATTGGTTGAACATGGTCTGCACTCACGGCGTCCGTTAAGACCCACAAAATATCCGGATTAAAAAAAAAAAGTGACATCACTCAACCATCTCAAAAAATAACAAAGCTCAGAAAGTACAACAATGTGAAGCATGCACTTGAAAGAAGAGTTGAGTTAATCGTCTGCTTTTTTACCTCGATGCGGATTGGAGGGGGAAAAAACTCTTATCATGATGTCAATAATTTGGTACTTCCATTATGACTCACTTTTATTCGGTAATTATGACATCATCATCCAGTAAGTATTTTTTCTTTGATATTTACTCCATGTTGCAGTTTCTGGAACCTATAAACTAAATATTTATATTTTGAAATGCAATGCGAATTTCAGGAGTCGGCAGATTTCAGGTCGGATGATTTTCAGTATTTGACTATATTAGCTAACTTTTGACTATTATTTTTATAGCTAATGTTTTTACTTATTCTAGATTTTAAGAATTACTTGTTGACGTTGCTCTGGCCATTTTGGAGCAGATTTTTTTTTCCTGGAATGGATCTTATTTATTTTTATTTTTTAATTATTGACCTTAAAATATGTTTTAAAAATTTCTTCCATAAATAAGTTTAAAAAAGTGGTTGATCATGTAGAATTGTGGTCAGCTTAGTGAAGTTTTATATTATCATTCAATTTTTTGCTTTTTATGGCCTGCCGAACATGAAGAAAAAACTAGTTTTCTTATAATTTACTTCTTTTATAGGTATGTGTGTGTGTATGCATGCGCATGTATACACATACAATATAATGACATTGTTACAAAATGCCTAGCTGCTTTAAAATAGCTTTCTTGCAAAGTGGATTTAGGGTTTCCAGGAAATGGCAAGGAAAGCCAGGGTTACCAGATTTGGTGACAAAATTCGCAATATGCCATAAATGGAGCGAGAACATTCTAGAACAGCGGTCATCAACCCTTAGAACTTCACGGACCACTACATATATAATTTTATATTTGGTGAACCATTAATATGAATTAAAAAGAAGGTGAATACATTTATACAATAATAATCAGCAAACTACACATATTTCACTCACATTGAAAAATTACGTGAAAAGTACAAAAATCTTACCTTCTTGTACAGAATACTTCACATTTCCATATCGCTGAAAAGGAACTTCACAAAAAGCAAGAAAATTTCAATAAATTGGCAAATGGCAAGGAAATATCAATAAACTGAATAGTATTATACCGCCAAGTTTTTAATTATTGTAAACATAATAACCATTGCTTACTCAGCAATGGCATCATCGATCAACAGTTAGACAAAACAAAAACGGAACCTTCCAGTGATACAATTATGAACAAGATTGATTCTCATAAAAATCCATCAATTTGCCTATTGACACGGTAAAATAAATGTGTTATTAACGACTACAATAGCATATGTTTGCAATTCAAAAGGAAAGAGAATTCCAGTTCACGCTAATATTGATAACAGCAGCATATCCATGGATGCCAACTCTCACTTTCAAATGTCACTAGATACACCTGCAAAAGTCACTAATTTCAGAAAGAATTTGCTAAAAGTAGTAGCTAAGATTTAAAAAAAAAAAAGTATAATCCATATTCCATCATAGGTTTTTGTTACTTGTCATTTTTTAAACTTAATCTTCATAAAAATATAAATAATGTCCCAATTTTTCTGCGGGCCAGCAAAAAGTTATCATGGACCACCGGTTGGCAACCGCTGTTCTAGAACAAATTCTTACCAGTTTTCCCCAGAATGTTCTCAAAGACAGGTCAAAAGCTATAATTACCTTGCCTATACGTGGAGTAGCAGTGTATCGTGGAGAGTATCTGCGGATGTTGAGTTCAGTAGTAGTGTTTTGAGCTCAAAAATTAGCTTGAGAGTAATCGAACCCAATCAGGAGCTGTACTTTAGTGCTAAGCTGTCTTCACCGGTATAGCCTGATTGGCTGACGAGAAGAATGAGATTTGCATTGCGTCATATCTTAATTCTCGCTCAGGCACGAAAGTACGAAAGTCATTATTTTTCAGTTGCAAAAGTGTGGTGCACCGCTACAACTGAGGGCTGCTCCATGATGGAACATTGCACGGGCATTTCTTTATGTTCAGTGGCAAACCTCCTGAGCCCAAAAGCCTTTCATAGGCACGGCTGTGGAGGGGTCAAGGGTTTAGCTACTGCTCGGACCTCAAAGCAGACATGACGGATTCATTTGTGCTTTTTGCTGAGTTCTTCAGTGGAGAGGTGCATTCCTTTCCTTTCATATTCTGGCTTTTGCAAGCGGCATTCAGCCTGCCTTTCCTTTGCAGTGTTAAGTCTGTGGCCAGGTATGAGATACCAGCCATTGGTTGAAGGCTGTGTTGCTGATTGTTTCAGCCTGTGCATTGTAGTTTTTCTATGGCTGTAAACATGTCTTTGGAACTCTCCTTTGTAATGCTGATAAGTGAAGTGTATTTTGATTCCTCATCAAGTGTTGTCATCAATCACTCCAAATCCTTGAACCTGTAGAACACAACTAATGGTGTCGGAAGTGGGATTTGCAAGTGAATGCCAGTGACCCACCTACAGAAAAAAACCAGGGCACAGGAAATGAAGTTGATGGACTTCTTAGCAGCTGTAAAAGCCAGACTGGAAGAGATGAAAGCTGTACGAGAAGAGATGAAAGCTGGATATGAAGAGATGAAGGCTGCATGAGAAAAATAAGGGAAATAAAAGCTGGCCAAGAAAAGCTATGAGAGCAAGTCCAACAGATGAAAGTGGAGCTTACAGAAGAAACTGGAGCCATAAAAGATGGGGAAATGTCAGAATCGACATCTGAAGGAATGAAGGAAGTAGCTAGTGAAGTGTCTCAGGAAGATCAAGAAATGATGGATGAAACATCTGATGGGATTAAAGAAAAAGAATGAAAGCATGAAGAAATAGAAGACAGGAAAGAAGCTTTTGATTCTCAGGTGCCTGATGTAGACATGGAAGAAAGTAAAAATGTGACTGCTAAATTGGTAGATTAATTTTAATAATTTTTTTTAATAATCAAACTAAAAGATTTTGAAAAAGTGAAGTAAATATGGTAACCTCCTGTCTGTCAAACAATAGCTAGCAGTTATGCAATTTAAATATGAGTAATATGAGCAAAATTGTTTGGTAAATTTTGAATTTTAAATTTTAGAAATATGAACAACTGAGGGGTCAGCACGATAATGCCAACTCATAAGGGGAAATCAGCTTATCTCTGTACAGAAGAATCTCAGAATGAGAATTAGCTTTTATGTATAGAAGTTAAAAAATAATTTATTTTTTAAAAGATTACATAAGAAAATATGTTGGGCCAATTAATGGTGATAATATATTAAAAGAGAACAAATATTTTAAGTGTAAGATGTATACCAAACTTTTGTTACTAAAGCAAAATAATGTAAGAAATGATGTAAATAATTAAAGAATGATAAAAATAAGAATATATTAATTACCCTTTGCTTAATCTTTCAAACAGAATTTTTCAAGGGGTTAGTATTTAAAACATTAAACCAGGATGATAATATGTATGTAGTGTGCCCACTGAAGTCCAGTACCATCCATTTAACTGCCAAATGGCTGCAGCTGTAATGATAAAAGTGGTTTCTAGGTATGGTAAAGTGGCTATGTGCTACTAAATGAGAATGCTTACAGCGCCACCTGGTAGAAAATAGTAAAATTAGCATTTCTATCTCGAAAGCGGTACAAGCACAGTGCCTAACTTGTAATTCATAATCAAGTGAACTGTGGTTCAAACCCTGCAGAGTGCATCTTTGTGCTGATTGTCTTTACAAACAGAGTAGACAATATGCAGATTGTGCACAATTGTGTTGCAAAATACATCAATTCAATACAACTTGAGCTTGGTGTGCGAAATTTGTGCATTATGCAAATGGTGTATGAAACGTTGCACATGTTCACCTGAGACAGCTATAAAAGAGTTATCTCCTCACTCATGGTCGTAGAGTAATTTTCAAAAATGATTATTGTGACATGTTTCTACTTTATGATGAATGTGAGGCAAGGCATGATTGGCAGTGCTGTTATATTGGCAACTTTTTCCTTCAGGGCCCCATTCTTCACACAAAGCCATCCTACAGGTTGTAAAACGTTTGAGGAGACAGGCTGCGTGATTAGCCAACTTCGACCCAGCAGACCAGCTAAGGTAATGCAGAAAGAACAGCTGGAAGATATATTATCATATGCCATCACGTATCCGAACAGCAGCACAAAAGCAATAAGTGAAAATTGTGCCATTTCAAAAAGTTGTATTTGGAAATTCCTAAACAAATTAGGTCCTCATCCATACTGACCAACACTCATCAGGCTTTACTGAACAGAGATGTCAAGAGATGTTTTGCATGCTGCAACTTCTTCATGAACCGGATCAAGGTCCAGCCAACCTTCTTAGCAGATATAGCATGGACAGATGAGACATGTTATTTGCAAAATTAAATTTACAATAGGTTGAATACCTATTGTCACATTAGCGTGTTTCTCTTCTAGTCTTGTCTAGGTTGAATACCTGTTACTAGGTGCTGGAAAACCTGTCATGTTCTGCCGATGTTCGACATCAAATACGGTTTTTGATTAATGTTTGGTATTGAATTTGCATTAACAGGCTAATCGGCCTACTATTTTTCCAGGGTACATTAACAGCTGCACAATATTTAGAACTTCTGCAGGACATAATACCCAGTTTTGTTGAGGGTCTGCCATTGTTTCATCTCCAGAATGGATGGTTCCAATACGATGGTGCACCTGTCCACTAGACATCACCAGTGAAGCAGTACCAGATAGAGGAATCCAGAGAATGAATAATTAGGTATGGTGATTTCAAATAGTGGTCTGCACATTCAACTGACCTCACTCCAATGGACTTACCTCAAACAGCAGGCATATGTGATTCCTCTGCTAAGACTGCAGGACCTTCAATGGCATGTTACAAAAGCTTGTGCAAATGTATCACATGCTCTGCTACAACATGTGCAATGAAGTTCTAACAAGTGTCCAGATGTGCATTTCAGCTTCCATATGTCCAGATGTGCTTTTAGGAGAGAAGTTTCAACATCGAAAAAAAAGTTATCTTGTGATAACTAGTTTTTTCTTTCTAAGATCATTTTGTCATGTCATAGTGTAGGAAATCATGAATAAACAAATGCAAGTTTAAGACATCCTATTCTGTATTCATGTCTCCGAGATATCTTTGCATAGTAAATTCGTTGCTACAGTACAAGTTTGTAATTCACATTTTCCTCCTATCTGATACTGTTTTTGATATATGAATACTAACTCCTCTATTTTCCACCGGGTGGCACTGTAAGTAGTCTCAACTAGTAACACATAGCCACCTTACTATACCTAGAAACCATTGTTATGACTATAGTTGCAGCCATTCTGCGGTTAACCAGGTGGTACTGGACTTTAGTGGGCATCCTGTATATGCATAAATCAAACTAAACTCGGTGGTGCAACAGCCCTAATGGGCCAAGGCCAGCAGTGCTCCGAAATCTGTTTTCTTGACCGTGGGCCCAGGGGTGCGTAAGCATATGCCTTGAATAAGTGGTTAGCTTGTCTCAGGATCCCCAGTGTTTAGTATCCAAATGAAGTTGGTACTCATTTTATTGACTCAAGGGATGAAAGGCTGAGTTGACTTTGCCCAGCCCGGGGATCAAACCCCGGACCTGTGGTGCTGCTGCGCGATGCGCTAGCCACTGTGCCACCGAGCCTATATACATAAGTATATCATGTAAATAATACAAACAAAAAAAAAAAAAAAATTTCAAATTACATTCATATTAAAATACAGTTGGTAAAAAAGGGGGGGGGAAATGCAGTATACCGTTGTAAAAAAACAACTATTTATCGAGTCCTGTTTCAGTTTTCTATAGAATTCAGTTTGTGAAAAAATTAAGTACAAAAAAATTTTACATTTTTATCATGAGGTAAAAAATTAGTAAATAAGTCCTATTTCAGTTTTCCATAGAATATATATGCATAATTCACTATTATAATTATATCTATATATATCCCCCCCTTTTTTTTTCAGAGAAACTGTTTGGTCTTTTTTAACTGGAAAATTATCTGAAAATGCTCCTGCTTCATTGCTACATGGAATTCGAGAATTAGAAATGTGGATGTTGAGATTGTTAAGTGCTCCAGTTCCTGTTCCTGGGAAAACAAGGGTGGAGGTAAGTGTTTAGTGGTGATTCAAGTTTAATTAATAAAAATTATAAGTTAGTTGTGACTGCTAAATCAAGAAAAATTATCTAATTATTAAATGTAATAATTGATTTCTTAACTTAAGTTCCCATTGCTTTAACTTAAGAGTAATGGGAAAAGTAAAATTTTTATTTGAAGATTCAGATGCTTGTAATTGTTTTTCTTATCTATTTGGGTTCACAATCTTAGCTTGTGTTTTAAAAAAGATAACAAGATATGGATATTAACATTTGAATTTGTAGGTAGCTAACTATGAATTAATTTCTTGATAGGTGGAGATTCTGCCTCGAGATATACAACCTCCTCTCACCTTTGCTCTCCCTGATCATACTAGATTCTCTTTAGTAGATTTCCCACTTCATTTGCCTTTAGAACTACTTGGTGTCAATACATGTATGAAAGTTCTGACTTGTATAATTCTGGAGCACAAAGTATGTATGATAAAAATATTAATTTCTTAAACTTATATTTTCATGTTTTATGAGTATAAATGTTCCCCATCATTTCTCTTCCAAAAAAATTTCTTTTTACTGTATTAACCATATAAAATCCGAAATCCAGATGTCCAATATCTGGAATGATCTAAAATGTAAACCTTAGGATTACCAGCAACACTCTCCCTTATTTTAGTACAAAAGGACTTTGTCCTTGAAGGACTATTGTTTCCTTTTTGCAATTTTGCGGTGAATCACTATAAACGGCAAATCATTTTTCAAACTGTTGCCACCAAATGTTAGAGTCCTGCATTATATTTAAAGAAATTAAATAATGAAATATCTGCATAAATGTATATATATTTATTGCATTGTGATAAAACAATGGTACATATAGCCATCAAATTTTGAATGATGTAATCCTCCTACGAATATGGGCATGTGGAAGGAATTTATTATTGATTTCATATTTTGTAAAACTTTAACAAATTTTTGAGTAACAAACTCAATGATTTAAAAGCGAGCAATGGCAACACTCTGTGGGGGAAAAAACCTTTGTATCTCCAGCATGTGGAACTGTGTATTGGAAATTCTAAAGATGTGCTCATTTTAAAATTATTTTGTGACACATTGCTGTTTAATTGAATTTTGTGGTTTAAGTGCAAAGAACATGATATGTAATAAATAAAGATAACTCACAAAACAATTTTAAAAACAACCCCTTGGACGTAATTTAAAATTAGAGTCCAAGGGGTTGTTTTTCAAATGTTTGAGATTTTTTTTATTTATTTATTTTTAAAATTTTTTTCTTTCTCCCCTGTTTTTTTTAAGTACTTTACTCATGCACATTTAATATTTTTTCATATAAAACACACGGAATGTCCTAATTCTTAGCTTCAAAAAGTTATGAAAGGTAGTCCATGATGTCAGAGATCATTTGATTTTGGTGGCATAATAGGTATGTTCGTACATATGTCAGTTATGTATGTTCACATGACCTCTGATCTCATTCGAACTCTATTGGTTCCATAAGTTATGGGCTGTTAAGTGGATTCTTAGTTGTTTTAATTACATATCTTAGTTTTGAGGCAAATTTTAAAATTATGTTGTTATTTATCCATTGTTTAAACATTCTCAGTTAATGTAAGTTTTTATTTTTAAATTAATTTTTTCATATCTATTGTTGAATGCTTCCTCATTCAAACATAGTTAAGTATTTGGATTATTAGTATTTTTATACTAATTTTTTTGAGTTGGCAGTTCATTTTTCTAGTTCATTATTTTTTGCTTTAATTGTTTATGCTTTTCAGAGAATTTTCACATTCTGCTTGACTTATTTCTTTATCAGATTCTGATTATTAATAAAATCGCCATTCTTTTTTTTTTTTAATTTCTTTGAGTTGTTAGTTAGAAGACTGATTTTGCTTTGATTTTTAAATCATCTGGATTGTTTCATTCTTAGCAATATTTTAATCAGAAGAATAAATTTCATTTCTTTCTCTGTTTGAGTACCTAATATATTGCTTTGTTATTACCATAGAATTAGGGGGGAACTGACTTAAAATTTGTGAAGCCGTAAAATCACCAATATTAGTGTTAAGATGCATAGCTCTATTTTACATTCTTTTACAATATTTTTCCTTTTGTTACTATTCTTTTTACAGAATTGGTCTATCTATCCTTAATACAATTAATCCTAATAATCCTATAGTACTTAATACAATACAACCGTGAGTTGAAAAAAAAAAAAAGTTGGCCTTTACACAAAAGACAAGCAACAAGTACACTTTGTTTTTTACAATTTTTGAAATTACATATATCATCTTTATATGTATACATATATATAATATTTTACTTTTGGCGTGAGATAAAAACAATTCACGTTTAGTCCTGGCTGAAAAAACTGCTGCGTAGATGACTGGACATTATGGTGTAGTGGATGATCGGATGGAATAAGAAGCATAACCAGCTTGATAGTTAAACATCATTTATTTCTAGATGACGAACTTCTTAGCACATATCTTCGTAACTGATAGAAGATTAAGGGCGCTAAATGTGCCCCATAATTTTAGATATTCAGTTACATTTTAAATAATGGTGAATGGCTAGCAAAGGCTGAGCAACACATTATCAGCAGGCAGGCAAATAGGCAAAAGAGAGACTATGCAGTTAGTAGCTATTTATACTAGATAGATGCATAAGTACAGTTAATCTGCGATTGGTTAATTTTGGGCTTTAGTTCCATTTTTCAAGCAGTGTTATGTAACATGGAAAGATCTCGAATAGGGGAGAAATAATGAATTTAGGGGGTGAATATAAAATCTAGAATTGTTAATTTTGAGGTCGCCTATTATTTCTTAAGATGGCCATCGTACTTTGTTATATCTTACATATCCCCCCTTCAAAAGAAAACCAGGAGAACTGTTTGGGAGAAAAAGCATTAGTATTAGTGAAGCAAGAGAAAGTTTATCATATGAGGAAGTATCAAGGACATTGCCTGCAGGTTTTCCTGTGCCCCGTTATTCATTGTTCGTGACCTTTCTTATACATTGATTATGTAATACTTAAATGACTAATTTATAATTATTACAACAGCAATATAATTTCTTAACAGAATTAAATAATAAATCAACACAAATATAATTATTTAAAGTCCTCAAGTTGTTAAAATGTCCAATGAAAAATTTTGTAAGGTATCTTGACAAAAATAATTCCACAAGGTAAATGTTCAAATGTTTTCACAAAATAAATGTCCAATAACAGTCTTTCAAATTTTTGTTGATGAAAATATCTCCATTATAATGCAGATTGACCTGCCAACTTAAATGTAGAAATATAATACTCAATTTATGATTAATTGAATAAATTATTCTTATTGTGGATACACATATTTAATATAACAGAAAATTTAATATAAAAACACAACAATATGATGCAATACTAAATAACATGATAAGACTATGTCGGTTAATTGACATGTCCTCTCCAACAAAATCCGCATACCCACTTGCTGATGGGTTGGGGATGCTTAATCGAATATATCAAAAAACCTCTCTTCCTTAGAAAAAGGCATTGTTTTTGACATCGTACAATCGTCAAAGTTTTTTGTTTAAAAAATCTTTCATATTAATTAATAATGATACAACATTATACAAAAGTAACACTGAAAATTTAAGACAAATAACTCGTATAAGCAAGTTAGTCTTTTAAAGTATAATTGAATACAGTCAAAAGTCTCTAATCCAGACTAGTCGGGACTTTGGCTTTTCCGGATTATAATCTCGTAATATGTTTAAATCTTGTAATATGGCATGCAGAAATTATAAAATTAAAAATATGAAACTGTAATTTATGAAATAAAGAGCAATTATGATCTAAAGGGTATCAAAATTTACCAAAAAAAAGAAAAGCTTACTATTTATTTGTTTACTTTATTAAACATTTCTTTCAATGTGCGCATGCATAAAGCATACAGTACGCATAGTCGAAATTAGAAAATTTCAACCAGAAAACTATCTGATGTGTATTCGTGATATTTATAATGACGAGGAATTTGATTTAAATCATATCAAAGAGGGAGTACATGGAGATTCATCTCGATACTACTACTACATTTAGTAATGGTGTTGGTGTTGGTGTATTTAATTATGGCAAAGCACACGAGGGCTATCTGCCTAAGAGGAGGGATGCCTTTCGTGGAGGACTTTCTAAGGGAAACTGGCTCGTATACACGTTACACATGGGGAAAACCATGAAAACGCCCATGCAGCCAGCCCATTCGCGGGATTCGAACCTCGGACCGAACTACCAGTGTTCAGCGACTTTACCGCTCGGCCGCTGGTGGGCCCATTTAGTAATGAATTATAAGCCAAATAAAATAAAAAAACATCTGCTCTGAAGATAAGGATAGTGCTGACAGATCAACTTCCAGTTCACTGCGTGCCGTGATGTCCCCCCCCCTACGCACACAGAGCAGCATGAAATTGATAAACAGATTTCAGAATAGTTAGAGAAACAAAGGCCTTTATATGCCTTTTTCCATTTTTTGCAGCAATTCCACTTTTTGCTTGATGGATATCGAAACATGCTTTCGCTTTGTAGATCCTTTGGCAGCTCCAGAATCGGAATTCTTTTGACTAATCGAAAGTCAAGCTTACTTTTATAAAATTGCTGTAACAGTCTGCAAAAATAATAAGCCGATCCAGTTAGAAGATTAAGGAACAATGCAATCTGCAACATTACCTGAAATAGATAATTAGATAATTTTAGCTTAGCTTATACCGTCCGTTATACATTAAATGCGCATGCATAAACGGATTATGCGCATGCGCAGAAAGTTTGTAGCTTTGAGGTCTGGATTATAGATCATTTCGGATTATGGACGTCCGGATTAAAGACTTTTGACTGTAGTACCCTACAATAAGAAGAAAGAAAGGAAGAATTTTTTTAATTATGTAAAATATGTGTTTTTGAATTAAAATTACCATAATTTACTTTTTAGAATCTGCATGATTATATTTATATTCAGTACTCATTATATACATGAATGCTATTATCATGGAAGATGATTTTTTTTTTTTGCCAAAAGAAAAGCCTTTCCTGCCCTTCTTCTGTGGTTCCTCTTAAACTTATCTGTATTAGCATTTGTGATTTGATTACAAAGTGTAAACTCTATTGTCAGTGTCTTCTGAATGAAGAGAATGATCTCGGCCTTTTTTTTATTATTATTTTTAATTTGGAAAAAGCAAATGATATGTTGTAGATTGTCACTTATGCTGCACTGCTATGTGAAGTTATTTCTGTGTTTCATTCTTTATCACAATGTAGGGTTGAAAGTTTTCTTCATTTTTATATATCGCATAAAAAATATATTTTAGTTCCTATGTGTACTTCCTCCAGTCAGCGTGCAAAGCACCCACTTGGCACAAATCTTTCGGTAGACCATATATGAGGAGTAAAGGTTATGAATTACAGCATATGTGAAAACTGTGCAAGGAGCTCCTCAGTGATAATACAATAAATTTACTGCATGACTACATTCGTATCATATTATGCAGCTATTTATCCATAATGATGGACAGTCAGTCAAGATCTTTTTTCATTATGTCATTGAAGTCTTGATTGACTGAGTATATAGAGTTATATTTATAGTACACAAAAATTGCATGAGGCTCTTGCTTCATACTTGATGGGATTCTCAGTTTTCTGTATCATCTTGGCTGCCTGCACAAACATGTCCATAACTGCGAACATAACCTGTGCTACGATGTAATGCTCGTAAAAACTCGCAGACAGTTAACTTATTCTTGGAGAGGGGGGGGACTTTGACTGCTGCCTTCTGATATTTCTGACAGTTAAACTGTAGTGGAAGTTTACAGTGATGGGTATACAATTATTTGTCTTCCTCAGTATCATAGATGTCTATATGAAATTATAACTTAAAATACAAATACTCAACTAACTTTCAAAATCGTAAAAACAACCTTGTATTTACCTTGTCTTTGCTTACCAATGAACTTAATTATTTGAGAGCAGTTGCGATTGACCGTGTATTTTCTCCTGTGATTATTGAAAAAGCCGTTTAAAAATTTTCAGATTCCCATCAAAGAAGACATTCCACTGTTAGAAATAATACTAATGACCTTGTCGTGCTTCCATTTTATCCTTCTGTTAGCTATAAAATTGCATGGATTCTCCAGAAATTCAATTTTCAAGTCGGTTTCTCCCCTATTAATAATATTCACCCTTCGATTTTAAAACATTGCGTTTCTGTCTTGAATTCTTGGGGAATTTATAGTATATCGTGTCAGTGTGGTTTAAGATATATTGGCCAAACAAAAAGAGCGCTGAAGTTTCGTATCAAGGAACATGAATCTTTTGTCAGAAAAGGCGAAATTAACAAGTCTTCAATAGCGTATCATAGTTGAACATTTAACCATAATTTTGACTTTGGGTCTGCAAAAATTATCCAAAAGGCTTCTTCCATAAGTGAATTGAATTTTCTTGAGGCTTTTCATATTCACAAAGATTTAGCAGGTTTAGTTAATGATTTGAAGTCCAATCCAGTCCTTCCTAATGCCTTTAAAATTCTACTATCTTAATTCAGTTATTTTTGCCGATAGATGGCGTTATCTCCTCGCGTTTAGTACTACCAGAGGGTATAAAAATCCGTTCATTGGTTGCTTTCCATTATTTGAAGTTCAGATTTTAAACGTGAAGGTGCATTTGCCCCTCACTCCCTATTTTTAACTTCGCTAATTTTTCTTGTCCTTCATGCTTGATCAGATAGCCTGGCTCAGTAAAAGTAGGCGGACAGTGCAACTCTGATTAAAAATCCAGTTATAACCACGTGCAGTGCTGATAAAGACCACGTGTTTCTGAGACTCCTTCCCCGTTATTTTCTTCTTTCTAGGTATTTCTTTCTCCTGATGAGGAGGGATCTTTAACTGCCCTCGAAATTGATTGTTTCAATATACTTACGCTAAATACAAGGTTGTTTTTATGATTTTGATTGTCACATTAGCGTGTTTCTCTTCTAGTCTACTCAACTAACTTCTTTCATTCTTTGTCCATGATAAAATAGGTTTAACTTTATGGATATGCCTTCTTTCCCCCACCACCCTCCACTTTTGGAAAATTTTTTATTTGTTATGTAATGAGCGAGATCTGCATTTTAATTTTTTTTTTTTTTTTTTTTTCTTTGTAAATTTTAGCTACTTTTACAATCACGTGATTACAATGCTCTTTCTATGAGTGTGATGGCCTTTGTTACCATGATTTATCCATTGGAATATATGTTCCCTGTGATTCCTTTACTTCCAACTTGCATGAATGGAGCTGAACAGGTATAGTTCAGATTTATGATAAAACTTTAAACATCATATTCATTTACATATAAACAAAGGAAATTATGCAATTGCATGTTGCTCTAGAATTTATTCATGTCTTTACCTGTATTCTCTTTTTGGCAATGTATGAAGTAATTATTGATTTGTTTGAATTTATTTTAGCTATTATTTCAGAATGTATCTCCTACCATTTCAAAGTTTTTTTTAGGGGGGGGGCTTTTTTTTTTTTTTTTTTTTTTTTTGGCTTATGTGTATTTTATTAGTTAGATAATTGGATTTTAAAAAATGATAAATAGTAAAACATTGATAATAATGTTTTTTTTTCCAGCTACAAGAACACTTTTTCCCATAATCATCTTTCTTTTTGCTTCAGAGGGGTTTCAAGCATTAGAACAAATTGCTTCTTCAAAACAGAGCCAAAGAATTTATTGTGGAAAGTTTCTTAATATTTAATGAAGCATTTAAGATGCAATTGCAGTAATAAAACATATCTTTCTCTCAAGTCTCTTATAAAGTCAGCATTAATTCTCTAATCAAAATCATTAGTTTTTAATGTAGCAAAAGGTCCTATAATTTGGCATTATCAGATTAAAATTATATAGTGCCACAAAATACAATCAAAAGTCGTTAATCCGAACTCGTCGGGACTTCGGCGATTCCGGATTATCGATTTTTCCGGATTATAGATCATCAGTTTAAATCTGGTAAAATGGCATGCAGAAATTATAAAATTAAGAATATGAAACCGTAATTTATGAAATAAAGAACAATTATGATCTAAAGGGTATCAAAACTTACAAAAAAAAAAGCTTAATATTTATTTGTTTACTTTATTAAACATTTCTTTCAATGTAAGTTGTTTAAGTTGCTTCGTTTTTTATGTGATAATACATTCTCTTTAATTCTATAAACAGACATAATTTCGTGTTCAGTTACAAAGTTCCGCTGTTCAAGTCCTATAATTGCTGTGTCAAGAATACCGACTAATTTGTCAATCGAAATTTTTTCGTTTTCAATAACCTCTATCACTTTCTTCGCTATCCGAAGCGAATTATAATGACGAGGCATTTGATTTAAACCATATCAAAGACACATCGAGATGAAATACTACATTGAGTAAGCAATTATAAGCCAAATAAAATAAAAACATCTGCTCTTAAGATAAGGATAGTGCTGGATCAACTTCCAATTCATTGCACGCAGCCCGGTGTTAAAGATAAACAATGTTTAGATAAACAAACGTTGAAGTTTACATAAACAAACGTTAAAGTTTACATAAACAAAGGATATGCCTTTATCCATTTTTTGCAGCAATTCTACTTTTTGTGTAATGGACTCCGAAAGATACTTTCGCTTTGTATATCCTTTACATATTAGTAAATATATATCGGAAATTCTATTTGACATAATCGAAAGTTCAAGCTTACTTTTATAAAATTGCTCTAACAGTCTGCAAAAAATAATAATCCGGATCCAATTCGAAGATTAAGGAACAACGCAATTTGCAACATTGACTGAAACAGATAATTAGATAATTTTAGCTTAGCTTATCCGTCCGTTATACATTAAACGCGCATTCGTAAACGTATTTTGCGCATGCGCACACGCAAATTCGCAGCGGTAAAGGTCTTACGTGCATGCGTCAAAGCGACGCATGCGCAGAAAGTTTGTAGCTTTGAGGTCCGGATTATAGATCATTCCGGATTATGGGTGTCCGAATTAACGACTTTTGACTGTACCTTTATTTTTAGAGGAGCTCTTTATTGAATATATTGAGGAATGATAAAATATTGCAATAATAATTCTGCAAGCTTGTTTCATGAATCAAACTTATTAACAAATAAATGTAATTTATATTTTAATTATATTAAGTCAGTTTTTGCTGTGAAGTCATCATTACTGCCATTGCTTTTTATACATTCTGCCTTTTTTTTTTTTTTTTTTTTTTTTGAAAAAAAAAACATTTTACAGAACATGAGCAGTCACTATTTTAGTTCATCTGAATGTGGTATGTTTATAGATGTCATGCCTTATTTTAAAATTATGAAGCCGTCCATCTCTGAAACAGATCATTATCTTTTGGTGAATTCATTGATTGATGACATTCTTAGCTTCTTTTATTAGCATAGGACTTATTGTGGGCTGATCTTCCAATTTATATGCATACAGTCATTTATACAATACAGTCAAAAGTCGTTAATTCGGACACCCATAATCCGGAATAATCTATACGTGACGCATGTGCGTAAGACCTTTACGGCTGCGAATATGTGTGTGTGCATGCGCATAATACATTTACGCATGTGCGTCTAATGTATAACGAATGGTATAAGCTAAGCTAAAATTATCTAATTCAGTTAATGTTGCAGATTGCGTTGTTCCTTAATCTTCGAATTGGATCCGGCTTATTATTTTTTGCAGACTTTTAGAGCAATTTTATAAAAGTAAGCTTGAACTTTCGATTATGTCAAATAGAATTTCCGATATATATTTACTAATATGTAAAGGATCTACAAAGCGAAAGTATGTTTCGAAGTCCATTAAACAAAAAGTGGAATTGCTGCAAAAAATGGATAAATATTTGTTTCTCTAACCATTCCGAAATCTGTTTATCAATTTCACACTGCTCTGCGGTGGGGGGGGGACGACATGGCGCGCAATGAATTTGATGCAAAAGCAAAGTTTAAAGTTGTAAAATTAAACATTTAGCAGCAGTAGCAATAGAAGCTCCCTAAGGTTATGTGCTGTGCAGACACTGAAGACAATAAAAAGGTTTTAAATTTAACCAATTTATTAACAATATATATAAAAAAATAAAAACACAATGAATAAATTTAATCAATATCAGAAACTTAAAAATTATAATATAACCATTATCAAAAATTTCATATATTAAATAATATTTTACCTGATCTCCAAAATACTGGCATTCAATACGCGAAAAACATATCCTAAACAGAAATTATATATTTTTAATGAAATTAGCTGCACTATTAATAAGTCCATGCTTAATGGTCAAGAAGGCATCTGAAAATTAAATTAAATCCTTGAGAGCACTTGAAACCGGCCTAACGCCGCTCACTTTAGTTAAACACGAGGAATCACAGCTTAGAAAAACATCGCCGCTAACTTGTGTTAAATGCCGCCTTCATGAAGAACATGGATGCCGCCCACAGCAGTCACTCACATCGTAGCTTCTTTTGAGAAGCCAGGAAAAGTCATCTTGTAGACTGGAACCACGGAACTCATCCAGGAAAAGTCATCTTGTAGACTGGAACCATGGCACTTATCACCGGACTGCATGCATCGTAAGACGTCTTCCAATAGGGCTGGAAACTGCACACCAAGGAGCCAAGAAACAGGAAATAGAAGGGATGAGCCAGAGCGATGCGAGATACTTATACCAAAAGTAGACATGACGTCATCTCACGGCAACCAATCAGCTATCGGCACGACTCGGCTTTCCAGATGACGTAACATCAAGTTTCGTTTTTGCATCTTAATTAGGCTGAAACAGTCCGTTCTTAATAAAAACAGTTGCAGTGAAAAACGAAGTAGAAATAACTACTATATCCCTTTAAAATAAGAACTAAGCCTTATAAATATTTCAAGGAGGAGAGATGATGCAGAAAAAGGGTTACAAAAGGTCATATTTTCCAACAGAATTGGAAGTTGATCTTCAGCACTATCCTTATTTTCAGGGCGGATGTTTTTATTTTATTCGGCTTATAATTCCTTACTAAATGTAGTATTTCATCTCGATGTACTCTGTCTTTGATACGAATTAAATAAAGTCCCTCGTCATTATAAATATCACGAATACACATCAAATAGTTTTCTGGTTGCAATTTTCTAATTTCGACTATGTGTAATGTATGCTTTACGCATGTGCGCGTTGAAAGAAATGTTTAATAAAGTAAACAAATAAATATAATTTTTTTTTTTTTTTTGTAAATTTTGATACTTTTTAGATCATAATTGCTCTTTATTTCATAAATTACGGTTTCATATTTTTAATTTTATAATTTCTGCATGCCCTCTTACCAGATTTAAACTGATGATCTATAATTCGGAAAAACCGATAATCCGGAATCGCCGAAGTCCCGACGAGTCCGGATTAAAGACTTTTAACTGTACTTTTATCTGCCTGGTGGAGCTCATTTTTTGGGGGAGGATATATTTTCTTTCTACCTTTTGAAATTAGAAATAAAATAATAAAATATCTAATTCCAACTTCTCTGTTATAATATTTCTGTTCTCACCTTTTTCTGTTTCTTTTCTGCTTAATGAGCTTTTGCAAATTGTTAAAGTCACAAGTTTCCATTATATTCCCATATCATCAACATTTTTATCAATTTTCGAAAACATTTAAATAAATGAAGCAAACCATGTGTAAACATGAAGGACTTACTGGAAATGAGAAAGAGATGCGAAGCAACCACCCGAGCCATAGGAAATGTTATTGAATGAAATGCTTACTTGATATGTGATGCTGTTTATTATGTGGTCAGAAGTTGTGTTGTTTTTGAAGTAGCCAATGATAGAGCTACTAGATATTCAGGCTGACTCCTCGTAACCATTCTTTAGGGTTGCAATTCAGGTGTGGTGTGCCCTCTTTGGCTTTTCAGCATTGTTGTTTCAAAAAGTCTTCAAAGGGTATCATTTTATTGTATTTCCTTTACGGAAATAGCTAACCTAAAAGACACATTCACATAAATCACATACATGTGAAAAATATAGGTCAAGTAAGTTTTACATGCATACTGAAAAAAAGAGTGATTCAAAAGCTGTTTTAAAGCAAAATGTACGGTATAGCTCTATTAACAACTCAAAAATGCAATGTAATATATTCTAAAAGGAAAGTTATTTAATACATAATGATATGAATTAAATATATATAATAAATACATAAAACTCTATAAAGAATAATGTTCATAACTATATAATAAATACCAACACACATCACATCATGGTACATTAACACTGCAATGAAAGGAAGGATATTGTAGTTAGAAACATACTTTTTATATTTATTTGATAACATAGAAGAGTAAAACATAAAGATGCCAAGGAAATATGAAAACAGGTTTATGCAACTTAAGAAACAATAAGAAGCCTTTTAAGTTATTGCAATAAATATGACACTAATTATGAAGTAAATAACAGTTTTTCAGTCTTTTACATCAGTTATTAGTTTTTCATTAAAAATTTTAACAGTGAATGCCAAAATAGATTTATTATTGGTGCCTTTGATGCAAGGTCACATAAAAATAAACTTGAATTAGCAAATTTCTGAAAACATTAAAATCAAAAGTATTAAATTACAGTAATATATATTATTAAATTATTTTAATTACACATTAAGAAAGAAATTGTCTGAATTAAAGAATGAGTTACTAAGCTTGTACAGCATTTTAAAACATATTTCACATTCATATGTTGGAAATAAATTGACAGGAATTGCAGTTAAATGAAAAAGCTGGAAATATAGTCTGCATGTCTATAAAATAAGGTCAAAATTATTCATTAAATACTTAAATTGATGCTTACTTTCTTTAATATGAATGTAAATGCAATATATTTATTTTACTTTAAAAGAAACATTGTATAATGCATAATTTTAACCATATTATCAGATGTTTACTTTTTTTTTTTTTTTTTTTACATTGGGGATAACTGACAGATTTGGCGACAATGTAAATTGGTCAAAAAGTAACATATAATTTTAAACCATAAATCCTGCATAAAAATTTAAATAAAAAGCACACTTTATAGTTATAATCATGCACAAAATTGAAATCAAATGTAAAATATAATTCTTTAAACTTTATCCATTCGCGATAATAACAATAAAAAAAATTACATAAGCATTTACTTATCGACGTCAGTATCTGTGTATTGACTATAGAGACACATTCTGCAATTCATTTTGTACATATAAATCAATTTGTCATTAATTAGCAATGAAAAAGATAATTAATGAAATGAAATGAAAATACACATTTTGCTGAAACATGAACATTTATTTTTTTAACAATTATGAAAACATATGAAGCTGAACTTACTTCGAAAGCGCATGGTCCTGTGGTCGAAATCCATTCCAGTGGACAAAAATTAAGTACCCATTTTCTTCGTATTTCTTCATTTCTCGGGAAACAGAACATACTAAAGTTATTTCTAGAACGATATGAACAATTTGATGCAGTGCATCCACCCATATTTCTCAGAATTAGGTTGCAATCCATCAATACAAATGTAAACAACACAACGCTAAATCAATATTCACTAGCAACAAGTGCCCTTCATTTGTATACAACACAGATGATGAATCAGCTCCCCTTGCTAATTGATTTGATCGTTTTCTGCTGCGTAATGATGAGTTCGGAGTGATCACTACGAGAACAAGCTATCACGAGCTCAGTGTGAAAATTATGTTTCAATTGACTACCAAAACAGCAAAATCAATTGCAAGTGATGACGTATGAGGACTAACGATCACTAAATGTTTCAATTAAGTGAGGCCTTAAAGTTGAATTTCTCCTCTTTAAAAGGGTGTGGGAGAGAAGGAGTGCAGATAGACTAAATAGACTCCAAAAACCAAAATGAAAACTTTGAGAAAACATGAAAGTGCTGAATTCACATTTTAAAAGTAAATGAATGTGCTCAAGAAAAAAACTTACAATGATTTGCTAGAAAAAAACTGTAAAATTAGTAAATTTCTGAGTTCTTAATCTAAGTTATTGGGCCTTGCTTTTCCTGGTAATAAAGGCAAAAAATAGCAGATTTTGTTGATTTGTACAGGGAAGTGAATAATGTGATTGAATTAATATAATTTTTATGTATCTGTATATGTGCAAATATTTAATCTCTTGGTTTATCTGATTTTTATTGTTTTATTCATTATAAATTCCATATTTGTCTTTTTCATATTTTATTTCAAAATGCTTCTTTAATAAAAGTAAAATAAAAAAAATGTAGTCTAATATATCTGTTTGCTGCATTCGTTAGAATTCAAAACAAAAATTTGAAATATGTGAATTCTCATTTGTATTTGTACTTTAAAAGAATTATTTGTTAAATGTATATAAAATCTGAGGGAAGTTTTGATTTTAGCTTTACATAGGATTTATGTAATTATGCTGAATTTTAGTGCCTTTGTTCTGTAAAGTTGACATGAGCACAAAATTACATTTTCATGATTTAGGAAAACTACAATAATTGTTGTTATTATTATTATTACAGTACAAAGTCCGAAGTCCATTATCCAGAATGATCTAAAATCTGGACCTCAAAACCACCAACAAAATTTTTCTTGTAGGCTTTACGCATGCTCATTTGATTCTCCCCTCCGCGCGTAATAAAACATCTGGATAGTCTTGATTTTTAGTTTCACTTCGACACTAAATAATATTTAATTTTAAATAATAAATTAATAATGAAATTTAATTTTATTAAAGTTTTTTAAAAAAGGTCAAAATTATATTTTATTACATTTACAATTCAATCATGTGTCCTCTTTCCTTTGAACTTCAATTTAAGTAATCTGTTATTTTAAAAACTTTTTTATAGCTCCTTCTGGCACCTACTCCTTACATAATAGGAATCCCTGCAAGCTTCTTAATGTTTAAGCGTCAGTTTAAGTTGCCAGAAGATGTATGGTTGGTTGATTTGGATTCAAATAAGGTAAGAATTATGTCCTTTATTTAAATGTACTTTTATTAAGCACTTTAAATCCTTATGTGCTGTATAATGTTTTGAATTTATTGTTGTCTTGTAGTATTGTGTAAAACATTTAAGTAAAAAGCTATTTGAATGATTTGTAGATCACTAAACCTCCTGGTGTCGAAGATCTTCCACCACTTCCAGAACCTGAGGGAACTATATTACAAAATCATTTGAAACAAGTATGTTCCTCCCCCTGTTTTATTAGTGGTATTATATTTTAGTAGATGTTTTCAGTCTGTTTACTATTATTATGTGAGCAAATATGCCAAAATCATAACTTACGGGAAGAGTAGAGCAATATTGTTAAAGCTTTGCAGTCAGCATAAGTTATAAAGAAAACTGTAACAAGTTATTTTCAGTATATACCAGTACATTAAAGGATAAAAAAGTATGAAATTATTTGCTTTCTTATGAAAAAGAATTTTGTTTTGAATTATTTTATTATTTTTTCAAATTATATTTTAATTATATTGTATTATACTGTTATTCTTTTCTAAAATTTTGTCTGTTATATTTAAATTTTATTATTAATTTAACATGAAATTTTATATATGTAGCACGGGTACTTTAAATTAAGTAGGTAATTTTTTTTTTTATTTTTTATTTTTTTTTTTTAATTTTTTTTAATTTTATTTTATTTTGCAAAAAAAAGCGATTTTTTTTTTTTTTTTTTTTTTTTTTTTTTTGTATTTCCCATTATTAACTTCATTCTTTTGCTGTAGATTTAAATTATGTAGTTATTTGTACAGTCAAAAGTCGTTAATCCAGACGTCCATAATCCGGACCTCAAAGCTACAAACTTTCTGCGCATGTGTAAACGCATGCGCATATGCATTTACACATGTGCCTATGTGTTTTTGCATGTGCGTTTAATGTATAACGGACGGTATAAGCTAAGCTAAAATTATCTAATTATCTGTTTCAGTTAATGTTGCAGATTGCATTGTTCCTTAATCTTCGAATTGGATCCAGCTTATTATTTTTTTTCAGACTGTTAGAGCAATTTTATAAAAGTAAGCGTGAACTTTTGATTATGTCAAAAAGAATTTCTGATTCTGGAGCTGCCAAACGATCTACAAAGCGAAAGCATCTTTCGATGTCCATCAAACAAAAAGTGGAATTGCTGCAAAAAATGGATAAAGGCATATCGTTTGTTTTTCTAACCATTCCGAAATCTGTTTATCAATTTCACGCTAATCTAGGGAAGGTGGGGGGGAACAGCGCCGTGCGCAATTAACTGGAAGTTGATCTGTCAGCACTATCCTTATCTTCAGGGCAGATGTTTTATTTTATTCGGCTTATAATTCCTTACTAAATGTAGTATTTCATCTCGATGTACTCCGTCTTTGATATGATTTAAATCAAATTCCTCGTCATTATAAATATAACGAATACACATCAAATAGTTTTCTAATTTCAACTATGCGTATTGTATGCTTTACACATGCACACGTTGAAAGAAATGTTTAATAAAGTAAACAAATAAATATTAAGATTTTTTTTGTAAATTTTTATACTCTTTAGATCATAATTGCTCTTTATTTCATAAATTATGGTTTCATATTTTTAATTTTATAATTTCTGCATGCCATCTTACTAGATTTAAATTGACGATAACCCGGAAAAACCGATTATCCGGAATCGCCGAAGTCCCGACGAGTCCAGATTAAAGACTTTTGACTGTAGTAATATTTTATATCATTTAACTTAAAATTATGTAAATGTTTATCATATTTATTTCCTAGTTTCATGTTCATCTTTTTAAAAAAAATTTTTATGTAATCAAATAACTTATGGTATTTGAAAACATTCTGTAATTACTAAAATATTTTTGAAAGATTAAAAAAGCTTACTTATTTATGCATTCTTAATGTTTTAACATCACATGATAGTAAGCTCATAGCCCATAATAATAATGGCACCCATAAAAATTATATATATATTAAGCTAAAGGCTGCTATTAAATTATCCATAATATAACTGTCACTTAAAACTTTTTTATAAAGTAAAAGCATTTATTTTTAATAATGTTTTTTCTGAAAATCATGTAGAAAGGGATACTCCAATCCTTTTTTAATTCATGGGAGAATATTTTGAAGAAAGGCACATTTTTTAAGTTTAATTTTATATATTAATTAATTTTAATCTGAAAGCAGTTTTTTACCTGCTTGTTTTGCATAATCTTATTGTGTATCTGTACTTCAGTAAATATTTTGTTTAAATGTGAAATGTGTAACTTTAAATAATGCATTTTATAATTTTTTCTTCTTGTATTTATATACAAAGTTACAAGTAAAAAAATTGAATAATATGCCAGAGTTACATTACTTATATGATGAAATTGAATTTACAAGATCTGATGAAATTTTGTACGTAGATAGTAGAATGTTAATTTCCTGGTATAATATAAGTTAATCTTGTCAGATAACACTATGCAAATAATTGCACCCACACTGTCTAGCATTTTGAAGTAAATATACCAATACGCATTTAATTCTGATTGAAAGAGATAATTAGTAAGATATAAATTTCAGTACTTTTTGTATTAATGCAACCACCATAGTAGAAGTTGCTTAATTTTTAGAATGGGCCAAATTCTGGCAACCATGTGCATAACCATTCTTCCAGCAACTATGCTAACATTTGTTTCAGTCAAGCAGTTCCATCATTTTTATATGTTTTTTTTTTTTTTTTGGTTGTATTCCAAGTTAAAATATTTTTTATAAACAAATCATGATATTTTTCTGCTTAAACTTAGTTTTAAAATATGAGCTTGGGAAGTTTGCCAACAAAGAAACTGTGGTAAAATTTCTGCAGGAATGCAGAATTTTGCTGAAATTTTTCTAAAGGGAAAAATGAGTAATTGTGTTTCCTAGATAGCCATCGTTGACACAAATTGCACGAAGGTGAGTCTCTGCAATTCTCTGATGTTTTTTCAGCAAAAACACACTGCTGTGTACTTCAAGAGAAGAATAACGTTAAAAAATTGCAGAAAGATTTGAAGAAGAATGTAAGCGTTTTATTTTTTTAAAGTATTACCTTATCTTTATTTAATAATTCAACTTTGTATTTTAAAAATTGCTAAAATATGTTTTATTTTAGCAAATATTAATACTGTCTGTAATAATTTTAATCTGTAATGTTTTATTTTAGCAAATATTAATATTAGTCTGTAAATATAATGTGATAATATTTACAGACTTACAATAAATATCAGTAGCTTGGGAATCTTTCTTAAAAAAAAAAGCATGAAAACCACCAACTTATAATCAATAAACAGCTTTTACCTTCTCATCTGTAAAAAAATGCCGAATTGCACTGAGGTGGTTGCATTAATATCTAAGTACCTAAATTTCGTGAGCATATTGTGAAGTTTCTCTTTGAGAAAGTATTTCACTGATCAGGAAAAATGGCTTGTGATTAGAAAGCTAAAAGCTGAACAGATGTAGGAACAGGTGTTTAAAAAACTAAAATATTCCAAAATGTCTTTTCTAAAATCTGAAAATGATTCAGGGGTGATATATCTCAATGCTCAAGTGAAGGCTGAAAACATGTCACAACTGTTTCTCGGGGCTATTTATTGGCTGTAATCACTAAACAGAACAATTTTATGATTTAATTACAAAGGAACCTTCCGCAGCTTTAAAATTTTAAACATTCCAGTGGATACTTAATGAAAGTTATTAAAAAAAGATCACACAAGAAAGTCAATAGTTTATCTGCTATTGATTTAGGTTGCAAAAAACAGCTATTGAAAATGGTGCAGTGAGAAATTGTGTTTGGAATATTATTGATTGGTGTCAAGTTCTGTTAGCTAACATGTCTGAATTTTCTTTAGAAAATAATTTTAGATGTTTTGCCGAGCAAAAAATTTAAACTGAAATCTGTTGTTTGTTTGTTTGTTTTTTGTTTTGTTCCAATTTACAACTGGAATCTTATTGGTAACATATAAAGATTATGAATGTCAAAAAACAGGTTATTATGTTTTGAATGTATATTAGGCATATCAAGAAAAAAAAAAACTTGTGAAATTTATGTGTTTTTTAGTCCAAAAGGGTAATTTGCCCTGAAGAACTATTAATTTCGTTTTGGCATTTTGCGTTGAAAACTTTAAAAGGCTGTATCACTTTGTAGGGTCTAGTAGAGAAACTTGTGTCTGATAACTGGAGTAGCAGGAAACTATACAAGGGAAGGGTTAAAGTACCCTTTATTAACTCTTTAAAATTTACAATGTGTTAACTCAATGCTAACAAACTTCACTTCTGCTTAGGCGGTAACTGAAAATCAAGTAACTAAAATAAAAATTTGAAGATATTAACAAATGATGGAACTAGACTACAGAGCTCAGCGAGATCCCATAACTTAAATCCCCTTAGAAGCTAGTGGCAGCAAAGAAATGCACTTAGGCAACTTGAACCAGCAATAAACAAGCATACCTATGGCAGAGGTTTCGGATAGATACTAACTCTCCCTAACTCCTACCAAAACTTGGCTTTTAAATACTTCCTTCAAAGTAGAAAATTTGCTTTCGTTCACGCGCGCTACAACATTTACCTAATCTGGCACTGACAATTAGGGGAATGAAGGCTTATACAAAAATCTGAACTTAAACTTTAAATTGTTAGTTAAAATAAATATAAATCCCTATAACTTTTTAAATCATTGCCACCATATATTATTGCCCTGTTTTATATTTAAAGAAATTAAATAATGAAGAATCTGCATAAATGTATGTATGTTTCTCACATTGTGATAAAACGACAATACCTAGAGCCATCAAAATTTGAATAATGTAATCTTCCATAGAATATGGTCAAGTGGAAGCCCGAATTTGAATTTGAAATTTGTTTTATTATCGTTTTCAAATTTTGTAACACTTCAATGAATTTTTTATTCAAAAACTAAGCGATTTCAAAGTGAGCAATAGCAACACAGTAAAAAAAATTATCTCCAGCATGCGAGACTGTGTATCGGAAATTCTAAAGATATGCTCATTTTAAAATTAATTTATGATATTGCTATTAATCTGAATTTTATAGTTTAAGGACATAGAACATGATATTTAATAAATAAAAGTAACACACAAAACTGTAAAAAAAGTCCTTTGGGTAATTTAAATTGAAACCTTTAGTTTTTTTTTATAAAATAGGTGTGTTATATTCTCTTTATGTGAAATTGT